TTTCTTAATTTTTACAAAATTGAACTTTAAAAAGAAAAAAATGCGAAAATATTAATATTTGTGTCATTTAAAATATAGCTGTATAAGGAAGGAATGTCTGCGATAACGTATGCTAAAGCAAAGACCGCACAAGGACTTGTATGAACTTACCGTATATTAGAATAAGAATCTGTATTTACAGGCTAACTTTATCTTTCAATTGAAAGATAAAGTTTATATGTTACGGGTAAAGTTTGAAGTCCGGCATTTTATAGAATGCCTAGGCATACTATAAAATATCACACACTTTCCCTAGGCCTAGGCATTCTATATAATGGCTAGGGAAAGTGTGTGATATTCTCATGTTTCCTACTTTGCCTAAAATGGGCCGCAGAATATCTCCACATATAATTGTTTTATGCATTATCATCTTACTGTTTCCATATCCTACCCCTGCATGCATATAACCTTGTACAGTAGAACATTTTATCTTACGCCAGTCAGGCGCAATAAGTGAAATCTAATGCACCTAGGCGTCCGAGTCCTTGATATTTATATTGACACTGGTGGACGTGGCGCTACACCAATTAACCATATGGTAAAGGGGTGGTGCCCACGTCCTCCGTCGCATGTCGCATGCCTAGGCATTCTATAGAAGGCCGGCGTTTCATACTTTGTCGGTAACATATACATTAGGATACAGATTACGCCCATCTACCTGCTTCCAAATATTTCTGCCATATAGATTACTAAGATTTTCATTTCCAAATATTTTCTGTCAGTTTCATAGTTTGGAGATAAATGTTTTGTTTGTGAGCTGTTAGGTAAAGTTCATGTTCAACAAAACTATGTTACAGGTTCATCACTAGAATAGAAATGACAAAAAATACAACAGCCAGGTAATATTATCACGTTTAATTCAATTCAAATGCGAAAATAACATTATTTACATCACATGCACAACATCCTGCCATAGTAATATCACAGATCTATATCTATTGGCAGAAAAGGAGAAAAAAATATAAAAATATTCAAATTACTAAAAACAATCATCTGAATCATTTCTAGATACGCCTTTAACAAATTTATCACTGTCACAGTTCCAAAAGTAGTTAAAAATTACACAATTTATTGTTCGTTTACAAAAATAAAAAAAAAAAAAAATGATAAAACATTATTCCCGCCGAATGGCCTTCAAATGAAGTTACAAAACAATTCAAATAAAGAAAATGATGAATTATATTTACAAATAACTTAGTTTTGATCTCTTTCTAATGTGACTCATTAGTGATGTTTAAAATTCTTTTGATGCAGGAGTTTGATTTGAGAAGAATGATATGAAAAATTAAAAAGATAATGAAATAAAATTTGGTAGAGCATTCAGATATAAAATAAAAATATTTCTTGAAAGTTTTCTACAAATTACAGTTTCGTACTTATATTAAGGGTATATTTTCAAAGTAATGCTAACTGTGTTAGATCAATGTTAACTGTGTTTGCCGTTTCGGGATTTTTGAGTTTGTTTTCCTGTTTTTTATTTTGACCTTTATTTGTCGACCTTTGCTTGATCGCTTTTCTTTCTTTCTTTTCCCTCCCATTTCTTAGAATACTTAAATTTAAGAATTTTGATGAATTCATTATTTTTTCCTTTCAATTCCTAAAATTTAAGTGACCAGTTTTATTTTTAAATATTGCATCCCAAATTTCAGAAGGGAAAAAAAAAACCGCTAAGGACTGATATTATGCTTAAAATTTCCATATCAACGAAAACATCCCATTGTTAACATTATCTTGAAATATAATAGCGGCCAGCTAGCTATATTGGAAAAAATTACAGGAATCAAAACGAATAAAGTTCTTAAGCAAGTTATAAATATACATACTCAAATAAAGATAACCGTCAGAAATTTTTAATGAGAGACTTATTCAAAAAAATTAACTTTCAGCTGATTTGGTGAAAATTTCAGAGAGACTTCAAATGATGTGAACATTTGTGAATTTTAAAATTTACTTGTAGAATATTACGCATACTTTGGCAATTTCATGTTTGTGCATGAAAATTTCGCCCACAGCGGCTGAGCGGTAAAGTCGCTGAATACTAGTAGTTTAGACCGAGGCTTGAATCCCGCGAACGGGCTGTCTGCATGGGCGCCCTCGTGGTTTTTCCTGAGTATAACGTGTATACGAGCTAGTTTCCCTTAGAAATTCCTCCACGAAGGCATCCCTCCCCTTAGGCAGATAGCCCCCGAGGCTTTGCTGTAATCGCATAAACCAAACCATGAAAATATTGTGAATAAACTTTCAAGTAAAAATTATTTATCTTTTCCATAAATAGTTATATATGTATATTTTTAAGGTGCTTAAAAATTATAGCATAACTTCATTAATAGGACCGTAGGATCTGATTAGCGAAGTGATGCATAAGTATTTTACCACATCAGAAAAGGTTTACTTTTTTACGTCGATATGAAATACCTTCCCTTTCAAATTACTAAAGTTTATATTTTGTAAATGACTAAAGTTTATTTGTTGAGAAATCACTAAAACTCATCCATGAGAGCGAACTTTTATATCCAATGAGACTACCATGTTTCATATCACCTTTCTTTTCACCAAAAACCCTCAGAAGGGATTTATTTATCCATTCGATATTAAAAATAACGAAGTAAAATTTTCAGCTCTAAGCAAAATATTTTGCCAGATTTTAGCACAAATAATTTCGCTAACGTTTACACAAAAGCAAGCAAACGTTCCACATATAATTAAATGAAAATTACACAAATGCTTCACATTACATTTCAAAGAAAAAGTATAAATACTAAAGTTTTATTATATTTTACAGAAACAGTTGCTAGCATTAGGGCTATGAAAGAACTTTTTGTTCCATTACGGAGCATAGTATATACTCATAATGCGTTATAGAGCGTTGGCGTTGTAGAGAGACACATACAAGTGATATATTTAATTTCCAACCAAATGATGAAACGTAAGTGGTCTTTGGCTCGTATGTTTATTTATTATTCCAGTACGTGGTTTTTGATTTTTAAAATTACACATAAATGTAATATAAAGAACTATTCTTTGTTTCGTTAATGATAGAAATAAAAAAAAAATAAACTGGATAAAGTAAAATGTCTGTAGTTGCTTTTACTTTTAATGCTGCGTTTTAAAATCATGCTGATTTAACATAAATCAAAATTAAATGATGTACTATAAAAGAATTTTCCGGTTAGAATTTGAAACAATATAATTTCAAGACTTATTTGCATTTAACTAATAAAATTTACAATTTTATAATTTGTGTTTTAATTCTTGTATATGCAACTGAAATTATAATAAAAATGTTTGTAAGAAAAATGTATGTAAATATAAATTTAACTTAGAATTGAAGGTTTTTCTGTAGATTTTTTAATTTAAATTTTACAATAATTTACTTATATATAAGACCATAAAAACTTATAAGTAATAAAATACAACAATAATAATTTACATAATTAAGATTATTAATTTATATAATATGTATAATTTTATTTGGTTTAAAGTATATTTGATTTGCTCTTTTTTTTTTTTTTTTTTTTTTTTTTTTTTTTTTGTAATTGCTTTTAAATTTTGGATTAGCATATAATGATTTTACATATAATGATTTTAGACCAATTTAAAGCTTTATGGTTTCTTTTAGTAGTCAGTTTGGCACAACGTTATGTTTTTTCTTTTCTCCAAGTGTTTCAAAAACGTGTAGGAAAAATTCTGGATACATTTGAGATTCGATATTTTGGTTTTATATGAATTTTAATGTCTTAAAGGAAAATTTAATTCAATCTTCTTTCAGTTTTGATCTGAAAAGAACCAAGAGAACAACACATATTAATCGACTTTTATGAAGCTTTCATTCATTTTCTCCTGATGAGTTCTGGAGTTTCAGTAAAAGGAGATTAATTTTTATATTTTAATAATTTTGTATATTTTCTCTTTTACATTTTTATTTTAGTTAGTTCTACTATGAATTCTTGTTTTAATTTTGGTATGTTTAGATATTGTGTTTAACCTCTTATACACGGTTGCAATTATTAATATTGTTGAATCATTACCTTGTTTTGATTCCAATTTAATAATTTTAGATGCTTTAAGTTTAATTATATATAATTTTTATAAGATCATAGAATCTTATAAATTAGATCATAAAATCCATTAAAAATTAAACTATGAACTGATATTATGATAAATATATATTATTTCCATCTTGCGTCAAATATTTCAAGCTTTTGCAATAATTACTACGAAGAGTTGCATTTTTATTTACAGCATTTTAAATCTAAATTTGATTTAATATACAAAATCTTTCGACAAATCTGATTATGGTTATCGCAATGACAAGTGAACACCAAAGAACAACACAATAGTGGCAACAAGTAATAAACAAAACAAATATACGAAATACATTTTTTGTCAAATGCATTAAAAAAGAATACGAATGAGTGAAACAAGCTATTATTCTTCAAGGGGAGAAAATAATTAAAAAAAATATATGTACTGTAAATATTATGATATTGGGAGTGATCCGCAACAAACTGTTACATATTCTGAAATGTTAAATCATACGATGATGAAAAGGATAAGTTAGATGGAATATGCTACAACCTATGGCAACAATAAAAATGACCGACGAGCCAAAAATGTAGCAAATACATTTTGCATTACGTTGACAAGAACACAGTAAAAGAATACAAGTCACGTTGACTAAGTACCTATCGCGAAATTGTTTAAGTGCTTTCTTCCACTAGTGGCTATTCTGTGCATCAAAGGCTATCAAGGCATAGTTCGTTGGGATGGTTCCTTTCTGCATGACGGCGATTGATGGTACACGGATGTGGCATAAACCTACAAACAAGGAAGATGAAAGTCAAAATGAAAGACGATTTGCTTGATGGATGCAGCCGGACGGATGTTCTCTTCATTTCTGGTTAAGTCCATAAAAGAAAAGTGCATCAAGCTACATTCGAACGGCCGGACTTTCTTTTTTCCCTTTCATATCCCGGATTCAGCAATACCTTCATCATCTAAAAGAAAAAATAAATAAAACTCAGTTCTAATTTCGGATCCATCAACGATTGTGGGCAAAAAAATTAGTTTACGTCAGTAGATTATGAATGGAAGTAGCTTTTATTTTATTAGTTTACCCTTCCGGTCCAGGCAGATACAGAAGTTTCATGGTCTACTATGTGCCGACCCACATCGCTTTGGAATTTACACGTTCATTGAATTGCCAAGTCTTATCAGCAGCTTTCTAATATTACAAAACGAAGATGATTTATCAGTTTGCAAAGATAAATATAGTAACGCGGAAGTTTGAAGAAACTGTGCAAATTGGAGTTATGGAGACTTAGGATATATATTAGATTTATGCACAGCAGTTATTCTAACATAGGTATTTTGACACAAAATCGAACTTTTTTCTGAAATAGCATATCATTGTTTTCCATATTTCGATTTTAGGACTCAAATTATACGTAGATATTAAACTTTTTATAAATTGTGTTTTAATTTTTAATTTAATTAATTTTTGGTGAGAAATTTATGGAGGAATTCAAAAATTTATCTCGGCACATTTTTGTCAGTTTGCGCCAAGAATAACTAAATAATTCACTTGGCGAGCTTCTTAATTTATAGCAACCTATTTTCCTTTCCTTTTTATTCCTTGTCCACGAGCATAAAAAAAGGCTTCGTTCATACTTTCAAATAATTTTAACAAAATGCGTAAAACCACATTTGGCGTTATAATCGCTTATAACGAATATGCCAAACTTCAAAACGCTCCAAAATGTAAATTCACGTATCCGTTAGGACATTTTATATTAAAAACTCTAATTTTTTGCAGGTATGCTTAGAAATACATCTACTTTAGGATGATGCTAAAACTTTCATAGGTTATAATTAAAAATGTTTTCCGAAAATTTTATAAAAATTATTTAAAAATACGTAATGTAAAAATAAATCGTAAAAAATGGGCGAAATTTATTTGGAATGAACCTAAATTTTGAAATGTGAAAAGAAGAATTAAATAAGTTTAATAAAAAAGAGATATTAATAAATATATACCAAATTCAATTAACATGGAGGAGCTAAAACTTTGGGAGCTAATTTTTTAAAAACGACTCGTGCGATTTTTTGACACTTTGGCATAATTTGAGTCGTAGAATCGAAATATAGAAATAAATTGGTATGTTATTTCAGAAAAATTCCGGTTTTAGGGTCAAAATACCTACTTTAAATTAATGGCATATATATTAATATAATATATATCCTAAGTCGCGTTTTCGAGACACGGAAAACGCAAGTTAAATTTCGACAATCGGTCCAGTAGAACGGAAGATATAAAACTGCCCTCTCTCTCTCTCTTTTTTTTTTTTTTTTAAACTTCTGATATGCTATATGTTTGTGTTAAACTGGAAACTATTATACTTATAACATGACTGATTTGAGGTACATGGGCTTATAAAAGTATGCTACAAAGTAGTCTAAATTAATTTTTTTAAAGTTCTTATATGTTATATGTTTGTGTTTAACTGGAAACTATTATCTTCATAACACGATTGATTTATGGTACATGGGCCTTCTAGTTCTTATAAAAGTATGTTACAACGAGTCAAAATTAATTTTTAAAAAGAAAACTTCTAATGTACTGCATTGTTTGTGTCAAACTAAAGACTAGTATTCTCAGAATAAAATTGATTTGAGGTCAATGAGGTATCATAGTTCTTATAAAAGTATGCTACAAAACAATCAAAATTAATTTTTAAACAGGAAACTTCTGAAATGCTATATGTTTATGTTACGCTACAAAGTACTATAATTAATTTTAAAAAGAAAACTTCTGATACGCTATATGTTATCTGTATTTCATTTCTTTTAATAATTGTAATCACATTTATTAATGAATAGAGAATTAATTATATGATCACTCTAGGAAATAAATTAATCTGATAATACAATTATTTTAAAGAAAATGAGAATAGGAATTCACGGCAACATAAATGCAGAATCTCAGAATGTCGTTATCAGATGGCATTCTTTCATCGAGTTTTTATTAATTGATTAATTGGCCTAGAATTTTAAAATCGATAGATCATCAATCCTTTATAAACGATTTGCAAATTTTGTAGATTAACGATGGTTTTAATCGCTGATTCAATCAAAATTATACTTTTCATCACGGAGATTTTCCCTTTAGATTTTAAGAAATAATGATGATTATGTGATTTTGGTGATCAAGGTGATAATAACGATGATAGTGGTAGTGATAATAGTGATAGATCAAGATGACAGTTACTTTATAAAACGTTATTCACTACTCACATAATCACAGAAAGTAAGGGACAAAATATGCAAGTGATTTGTATAATATCATAAATATTATTGCAAATATTATTGCATTCAGGATTATTTATTATTTTACATTTTAGAAAAGCAGCAGGAATAATAAGAAAAAATGCCATAAAACGTTTGATTAAATTTTTGTTTAACGACATTATGGTTCATCAAAATATAAATAAGTGCATATTTTAAACCTTAAAAATGAATTAAATACCACGTTATGCTAAATAAAATTTTAAATATAGGTTATAAAAGCATTTGTGTAAAAGTATCTAATCTAAAACAGATACAGCTAGTAACCTAACAAGTCTCTAGCCATAATAGCTGAATATATTTTTAGAAGTTTTTATAGAAATACGACGTAACAATCTCTTTATCTATACTTATAAAAACCTGCGTTTTATTACAGATACATATTACAACAGAATACAAGCAATTTAAATTTAAATACTATTTGATGTTTTTTTTTATATTTAATGTTTACTTTTCATTATTGAAAAGCTCAGAGTTTAACCGTGCTAAAAATTTTTTTTATCTGATTAAAATTTTTTAAATCTAAATTTAAACGTATTAAGGTATTACAAAAATTAATCTGAATTTCACTTAAAACGTCTTTTCTTAGAATGAAGAGATTAAAAATTGATTTGTTAGTTTATCAGTCAACTCATCACAATACATTCTGGAGCCATATCGCGTCATTAATAATTTTGTTGATGATAAACAGATGGCAGCACTACCAATTTCAAAAATATTTGTAGTAGTAATATACTGAAAATAAAGGTTAAAGTCTTAAAATTTAAAAAAAAGTATGGAAAAAAAGACAAACAATTTAAAAAAAAAATTTGATTACAGAAAGAAATTCAAGAAATTGAAGCACATTACATTATCTTCTACTCTTTGATGCTGTTTAAAATACAGAAATACAAAAGCACACCGTAATAAAAGTACAATTAGGATATGTCAGACTTAAAATTCATGCAATGAAAATCATGCTACATAACATGCTATAAAATTTCAGAATTACATTTCATTTCTGTACATGCAATTTTCAAACCAACATTTAATTACTTCAAGCAAAAATATGCGATGAGTATTGTGCTTTTGTTAGAAAAACATTCAATTTATTATATGTAACATGAGTAGCATTTCAAAATACAAGCTTTAATTGAAAATTATTACAAATTTTCTTGGAAAAAATATAAATGCTTCAGCGATTAATTTGAATAAATAATAATTAATGACTTTTCTCATAAATAGTTTATTTCAATGAAGGGAAAAATCAGACTGCACCATTTTTATTTCAAAACATGATTACTACAATTTGTGTGAGCTTAATTTAAAAAGCAAGAAAACTGTTATTGAAGCTTATGCGTGGGAAAATTGCAATCTCTTTTTTTTTTTTCTTTTCTTAATTTTTTTTTTTTTTTTTTTTTTACTCAATGTTCGGACTACCAAGAGTTTGTAAACATTTGGATAAATTAATGAAAAAAATAATTAAAACCACATTAGTTAGTTTGTTTAAAGTAAGTTTTAGATTAAAGTGCGTTAATAATTTAAGAAAAGGAGTTTAAGTATCCAATTCATATTACAGTTATACATTAATAATTAATATAATAACAAATTTTATTTATAATATAATTATAATACAGATATTAAACGTTTTTATTATTTCCCAGAATAGGGAAAAACCTATGAGTATATCTGTTTAACAAAATGGATGCTTTCGTGGATAATATACTAAGGGATCCTGGATCATATTTACATGTCATGTTATGTGTATGGATTATTAATTATTAGGAAAATTGAGAAGTACCAAGCCAATTCGAGCCCAATTCAACTGGAATTTTAATGTTTAAGTTAATCTTATCAAGAGCAAAGATATGGTGAAAATTAATGAATTTTTATTTCATTTACAAAAATCCCATATCATTTTTACACAGATTTTATTTCTTTTTTTCTCTTTTTCGCCCTACAGCCGTGCAAGCTTAAGATTTAAAAGAAGACAAAGAACTTACTCCTTAACGTACATGTGGTTTTTTCCTGTGTAACGTGGATACGAGCCAGTTTTCCTTAGAAATTCCTCCACGAAAACATCCCTTTTATTAGACAGATACCCCCAGCGTGCTTTGTCATTATCAAATAAAATGCATCAAACCAAACTGTAACGCAATGTTTTTAGAAAGATAGGGGTGGGGTGGAAGGAAATGACGCAATTTCTTACTTAAAACTATAACTTCTTATTTCTGCAGTATTTATTTAATTAAATCTTTGTCAAATTTTATAGATTTTTCCTTATTCGTTAAAACTATTCAAGAGTGCTGTTTAAAAACAACAGAAATTATGTTATGCTCGAAGTCATACCATAACAAGCAACAGTAACGAGCATGCAAATCATGCTGATATATTTCCCAATAAATATTTACCAAGAAGAGGAACTTTTATTGACTCAGTATTCAATCTGATCATACGGCATTCTTCTAAGATAAAGTTCACTCTTTGTTCTCGACGTGTCCATTGGATAAACGGACTGTCGTTTTAGCTGAAGATGGAAGCGATCCTTCAAAATGTATTATATATCACCACAACAAGAATAAAAAGTAAAATTATGAAATAAAAAGAAATATCAGCTTGAGCATATGTTTAGTACATCAGTTTCGTTAGATATTACAGCCAAATTTTAAATTCTCTGAATTAGGATGAAGAAACACAATTTTAGTTCTTTAATGTTTCCAGGCAAAATTAGGAGATTATGGAAACATAATGGTTAATGCTAAATAAATGAGGATACTTTAATGTGACCAGAAGGGAGAATTTGTTTTATAGTATTGACTGCTAACTTTTTTAACATTTTAAGTATTTTTACTTCCTTGTACGAAGTAAAGGAAGTATTGCAATCGCGACAAATTTCGGGTACCGCATTTCAAGGAAAATGTCCATTTTGACTGCTCTCGATCCCAGTTAAACGATGTTTTCGCTTTACATCTGTGCGTATGGACAGAAGAAAGGCCTCTTTTCCCAAAAACGGATTGTGAAAGGGATTTAAAATGGATTCAGAAGAGATTTTTTCATGACCTCTGTACGTTCATGCGTACGTACATACATTGAAATTCTGTATATGGGGCTACTGTAACATGCAGTTGTGCACCTCTCTTTTTGGTTGCAATCTGCCGCATTAAAAGTATATATATAATAATTTATTTCCTAAACAATATTGATTAATTGATTATATTATCTCATACATATATATATATATAGATGCACCTACTCCTTTATCCGGTTCGGTGAACTCAGATTTTCTTGCATGTTGGTAAATTGTGCCTTTTTGCTTTAAAAGAGATTAAATTATATGGTTCTTATGTTCCGGCTAAGGTTATTATGCCTTTAGTTAATCTGCATGCAATAGTTGTAGAATTCTAAACTATTTAAAAGTTGTTAAGTTCCACTAAGAATAACGACGCCACCATTTGTTTATATTTAAAACTTTGTGGCATAGGGAATTAAGTCAGTTTCTGCACCAACTTCAGTGTCTTTTTGCCGAGTGGGGTCCAAAGGTTTGTGCACCTAAAATTAAAGTTTTAATAAGTTTTATTAAAACTTTAATTTTAACTATAAAGATTGTTTTTTAAAGGTTTTTAACTTTATTCGGTGTTTTAGGTGTTTCTATATTTTGCAATTTTTAGAAGATATTTTGAAATTGTATGTATTTTTTTTTCTGTGCCGCGAAGTGAGAACTGAATTAATTTAATGAGAAACATCTATCTAATGAAATTCGAGGAAATACATTGAAATTAAATGGAGCAAAAAATATGCATGTCATAATAGGCCGTCAAAGAAGCCATGTGGTGTCCCCATCAGATTTTTTCTTTTCTAAAGTCAGACAGAAATCTTCAACTGTTAAATTATATTTCTTTGATGTTTTCCACTGTAGACGAAATCGGCCAATTTTAGTTAACGATTACAGTCACTGTATTAACTTTTCAAGGCTTTTTAATCATTTCAATGGAAATTTATATCTTTCCATCTTTTACTAGTTTTGTTCAGTAGAGGGTTACACTTGTTCTCTGGATACTATCTGCAAGAAATTCCTAATATGAGATAAGAGATGCTTTCTGTCTCAAAATATCCCTAGTTCTGTAATTGTCATTAACACTAACTATAGGCAGAAACCCGCAAGTTATTAGTTAAGAATTAATCCAACGATATACAAATTTCATACAAATATTTGAATATACAGAAATATTATTCCCAATACATTATAATTATCAGTTTGACTATCGCGAGAATTAATTGCTGAAAATAAAAAGCAATATTTGGACATGAAATTCAGCCAATATTTTAACTTGCTGAAAAGGCAGGACCTTTGTATATTATCATACATGCAAAATGCAATAAAGTTTACGCCTTTTCTACGCCATTTAAGGAAAGTAATTTCAAATAATGAAGCGAATTATGAAATGCGAATAAAAGCGTCGTAGGAATCTATGTTACATAAATAAGAAAAGTAAGGTAAATTATTTTTACATGCAGAAAAACTTTTAGAAAATATAGTCAAAATTTTAATGAAAAACAACTTAATTAATGACTTAATTAAAGAAACGTTCTAAGAGAAAAATGCACTATAAAGAAAAAATATAAATGAAAACTTCTCCTGAACTTCAAGTTTGACCTTTTTGTAAAGGCAAGCATAAAGAGATATTACCATTAAATTACAAAATTTACAATTAAACAAATTTATTTTCAGCTGTAACTATGATATTTTGTGGTTCCTTTTCCTTTAAACAGCAAAAATATTCAATAAAATGTTGTTTTCCTCCTCAGAACCGAAAAGTTAAAATCTATATATCTATCTATATATGCATAAATATATGTGTGTAAGATAAAAAAACATGTAAATCACAATTATAATTTCAATTAGCAGTAGCCTCTTAAATCCCCCCCGCCGTCTATTCTAAAAGTAGTAATGCCTTTTTATGCACTGGGTCATGCTTAGCCGCTGGTGTTGCGTTGACGCAACGGTCAAAATAAATGCGTATATAAATATAACTACCTAAGATATTTTATACCAGCAGATGATTTTGTGTAGGGAATATTATGAAGATTATTTCTGTAAAAAAATATTTGCCTTCAACAATCATTTTGTTTATAATAATTAATCTCATACTTTAAGCAAAATTTTCGACCGGGTATTTTTGCTGAAAATATTTAATGAAAGAATCGCCGTCTTTATGAGTGATCTATTTTTAGTCAAGGTCACCGTTTATCAGAACATTACATCAGTCAGATGTTTATATTTGTGTTGGGAAGGAAGGGAAAACAGGTGTTGCGCTGACGAAACGTCAGCAGGAAACGGGTAGTCAATCTCCTTTTTCACTCATTCCTTTCGATGTTCTGGTTCATGTTCTGGTTGTTTAAAAATGCTTAGAACGAGGTATCTTACATTAGAAGAAGCCCTTCAATAATTTTTTGATGAAGAAACAGATGATGATAATGTTAATGACCAGAATGAAACTGATATTGTTGTTGTTCCCCCAGAAAATTTGCAGCCTAGGGAATGAAACAGAATGAAGGAAAAAGATGATCAGGTTTCATGTGATGAGAATGAAGATTAACAAATGAAATTCAGAAAGTTGAATATTTTAACAAATTCACGTAAAAGTAAGTTTTAAGACTTTGATAAGAAATTGCAGAGGCTAGTGACGAAGAAGAAAGGAATGGCAATGTTTTAAATAATGATAATGATATTTTAACAAATGATACTGCAAGTTGAAATTCACGTAAATTCACGTAAGAAGTAAGTTTAAGACTTCTAAAAGCATTTATAGTCATACTAAAAAGTTTAAAAAGCAGAAGACTGAAATCTTGAAGTGGATAAAAAAGGAACTGTTAGTTATGTCTCAGGAAAAACATGAAGAAAGAGATAGAAGATAAATTATAAAAGACAAAATATAAGGTAAAAATAGTGCACAGATTTTCGATTTTCGTTTTGGTTTAGACATTTAGTCTCTTCTCGTTGAACAGACATATATATACGCTCAGCGAAAAAAAATGCCCAGAATTTATTGCATCTGAAGCCTATATGAGAAGATTTATTGGAATATTATTGCTTACAGGATATCATTCTTTACCTCAAGAAAAAATGTATTGGTCTTTTGATAAGGACATTTCTGTTCCTATTGTACGAAAATCGATATCACGTTTGCAGTACAGGAATATGAAGCAGAATTTGCATTTGACAATAGTCAAATTGACAATACTGATAACTTATATGAGGTGAGACCGTATCTAAACTTACTAAATATCACCACTTTTTACTACTGGAAATATAAAGTCTCTTTTAGATTTCAGACACGAGAATGCATTCTTCCTTTTGCAAGCTCCTATTGAGAGTGTAGAATTAGCCAGAAATAGATCAGCAACAGGAAGACCTAATAAATTCAGCATTCAAAAACCATCGCATGGAGATGGTAGACATTTTATTGTAAAAGTCCGTTGATAACAAAAGACTTTGTTGTAAAGAGTACCATAGCCAGACTGTTTATAGATACAAAGTATGTAATGTAGCTTTACATCATGATTGTAATCAAGTTTTTCATGCTTGAAACTTTCAAATGAAATAATCTGTATTTGTAAAAGAAATACAATGTATATTTTAATATTAAATTAATTACAAGTAAAGTGATTTGTAGATTTATAAAACGTTATACAGCAAAAAAAAAAAAAAAAAAAAAAAAACATTCCTTGTAGTTTTGGCGGTTTAATGGGTTAAAACGTATCTAATTCGGAACTTAAAATTTCAAGAAATGAAAATTTATGTTAACTGGATAACTGCGCACTTTTTGCCTCTAGTTCTCTTTCCGTCGAGAAGCAACTTCGCTCGTTTAACTTCTGCTAGGTATTGTCTATTGTTCTAAAAAAACACTCGGTATAAACTCGCAGGGTGCATAGCGCATTCGCAGTGATCATACGCAATGAAAAACAATATGTGTCGATTTTACTTCATTGTGCGAAGTAAAAAGGAAGTATTATAATCACGAAACGTTTCAGGCATCATATTTCATCGCAAATATCCATTTTCATCGCTATCGAATCCAATTTAAAGATGTTTTTACGTGACATCTGTACGTAAGGACTAAATAAAAGACTCTGTTCCCCGCAAAAAATTATAAAGCTGATTTAAAATGAATTCTGAAGAGAATTTTTTGTGGCGTCTGTACGAACGTATGTACGTACGTATCTCGCATAACTCAAAAACGAGTAGCCTCAGAACGTTGAAATTTTGTATATAGGACTGCTATAACATGTAGATGTGCACCTCGTATTTGGTTGCAATCAGCTGCACCAAACGTATATATTTATATATATATCCACTCTGTTACCCGGCTCAGTAATCTCAGTTTCTTTACTCTTATATGTTTGTAAATTGTACATTTATTGCTTTAAAAATAATTGAGTTATGCTGTTCTTATCTTCCGGTTAAGGTTTTTATGCCATTAGTAAATCTGCATGCAATATTTGTGGAGTTATCAACAATTTAAAAATTGTTAATGAATTTTGCGATGCGGACATGTTTGTTTACATTTCAAACTTGCCAAAATAGCGGATTTGTAGCCAATCTAGAGAAACTAAGCTTCGCAACAACAAATATAACGCCTTTATTTATTATTTCGAACTAAATCATGCTTTATTCATTCTGGAATTTATTCGAGGAAATAAGTACTTCAGATTTACTTCATAATTTTCAATACAGACATCTTGAGTTTTAATGTATTTTTTGCTTTGTCGCGAAGTGAGAACTTAAATAATTGAATGAGAAATACTGAATCGTCTGTGAAAAACTTTTTTTTTTTTTTTTGCTTAATTTCTTTTGTACATCGTTTTAGATTTATTATAGCATTTGAGTAGAACATGTGGCAACGTTAAATAATTCTTCAAATTTTGTGCATTCTGAGTTATAATATGAACGAAATATAACGTAGTTAAGAGAACCTAGGGAAAGAGTGTCGCTATGGTAAAGAAATATAGTGAATTTTAAAAAGTGCATTGATTCTATTGTGGTTTATGCGCTATCGACGAAGTAGTATTTAATTCAATAAGTTTAAATGAAATGCAAGAAAAAATGGGTACAGTTTAATATTACGTACAAGGAAGTGATGTGGTGCACACATCAGATTTTTTTCTATATTCAAAACAATATGTGTTCAAGAATTAATTATCAAAGAATAAAATTATGCGTGGAATAAAATTTACGACTCTGTCTGTATCCGAGGGTCATCTTTCTAGCTATGCAGTAAAGCCTGTCCAAATTATTGCAACACAGAGAACCATCGCCAATCCATTGCAGCTTTTTCCAAGTCTTCCTATTACATATACCTATATACACACATACATATATGGATATTCAGTTGAAATATGATAGCCGAAACTTTTTGCGATTATAAGACTTTATAAGACACTTTGGGGAAGAAAATAAAAATTAGGAGTAATAATTTTAAATTTATTGTTTAATTTAATCTAGTTTTTTTTTTTTTGATAAAAAATGTTAGGATCTATATTTATATTATTTTCCTATTATTATTATTATTATTATGGAACAAATTAAATTTATTAAATGCTGCTATTATCACGGGGAAAAGAAAGTAATTATTATGAACTAATACTCCAAATGTTACTTAATAATATTTGCTTTCTTCTCATTTTTACAAAATTTTGTGTCGAAAAATATTGCCTTCGAATGCCCCCCCTTCAAAATAATTTGTAAAGGAAGATGCATTGAAAATACAATACACTTTCGAAATTTAAACATTATATGAGCATTTTAATTGACTTACCATCATATCCTTGATTGTCATGGGCTTCGGGCCGGCCAAGCTCAAGGACTTCTTCCTTCTTTTCCAAAACACACAGCAAACATTGGTGGATGCAGATGTATTGTTGCTGAAAAAGCAAGCAAAAATAATTAATGTTTTGCTTCCCTCTATTAATTACTGCATTAAAATATTTTCGGATGTAATTACCTTCGTTCGATATCACCTGTTTATCACATTTCGTTTCCAAACATGATCGATATGATCATTTATTAACGAAGCACAGAATTTAATAATTAAGATTATCCGTACAGAATACTGTCTAGCGTAGTAAAATTGTCCAGTTTTTAACACAGAGTATACATATTTACTATTATTACCTAAAACGAGGATTTAGATTTAGATAATATTGATATTTCGTTTATGTTATGGATCAAAATCCTAAAAAGAAATTTTGAGGCAGCAAAAAATTTTACCTAATACTAAAATTAACTTGGAACAGAATACTTGTAACGAAAATGCTAAAAACATATGAGGAAACACATTAAATGTTTTAACAAAAAAAAAAAAAAAGATTCAGAAATTTTTCTACGAAGTTCATATTTATTTTCTTCTTCCCTCATTGATATTGAAAACTAAGGCTTTTTCTATTTAAAAACATTCTTTTAAATGGTTCTGCAACTAAATTTATTTAACATCTATTGATGATGTCATCTAAGAAGCTGTGTTATTAATAAGAATTTAAATTATTTTTGTTACTGTTCTGGTTGTTAGTAGTTCGGAATAAGAATTACACTGCGTTTTGGTTTTGTTTCCGTTATAAGGTGTTTTCTCCCTCTTTTCCGCATGCCTTCATGGTGTACTTCGAAGCATACATGACGCGTATTCGAGAGATGCAGGGTTCGTGTCCTGGGGATGGCACTGCATATTTTTCACGTCTCCTGCATCAAAAAACTTAATGACTCTACACACAACTCTGGCAAAAACCTAGTGGCTCCCGAAATAAAAGGTGGTGGACAATATTTCGTCGCCACCAGGATTTGGCGATTGGGTCCCCTAATCCCTAGTCGCTCTTCAAAAAGAGGAGTATATTATGTATTTTCTCACTCCTCTCCGCATGCCTCTTATTCGAGAGGTCCAGGATTCGAGTCCAAGTGAGGTCACTGCGCATTTTTCAGGTCTCCTGCTTCAAAGTTGAAGAAACATGAAGAAAGTTGTCAGAGTTGTTGACTCTACAACTTCTGATATTATTCTGCAAGCCGTAGACAAATCGTAACTGACTGTGTTCGAATTGTTGGCAAGTGACACTTCAGTTATTGCCGAAGTTAGTATTAGGAGGCATTTTATTTATTTATTTATTACGTGCTCCTTCACTACATGAAAAGGGAAGGATGCCCAGATGAGAATTTGTTAAGGGAAACTGGCTCATATCCACGTTACGCAAGGGGAAACCATGAAAATGTCCATGTAAGCCAGCCTGTTCCCCGGGATTCAAAAACCGGACCGAACTACCAGCGTTTGGTGGCTTTCATTCAACACTCAGCCGCAGGTGGGCCTTATTCTTCTGAGTTGAGAGATTTCCCTTAAGCTCAAAATCTTTAATACTTCGAATTGATTATTTTCAATATAGCGCTGAAATTCAAAAATTGAAAGTAAGAAATAAGGAGTGAGTTGATTAAATTCAGTGAAATTTAATGCAGTTTGCCTAAAAATAGTTTACCAAGAATTATGTTCAGCGAATATTTCTTCGTTACGTTACTAAGCCATTGAGAATGAATCTTACAGGAAAGAAATGTACGGATATAATAAGCGAACTGTATTAATTAATGAACACGGACACATGATACTGCAACAAATTTAGAGACTCACCTTTAAATCTAGAGTTACAGTATTGGCTCAGTCTCTATCCAAAAAAGAACATATAATATAAAGTTCTAAATGCTGAAAGCAATTACGTATCCTGAAGTTCCAAACAAATACAAGTCAGACATTTTATGTATGTTCCGAACTTAAATATATTGCAGAATAATATACATGGCTCGGAAATTAGTTTGGAAGAAAATATACATCATAAATCCTTCCTTAAGTGAAGTACATATCACAAAGGGTGTTTAAATATTTTTAAAATGATTTCCATAAATAATTTTTTAAAAAAGCAAATGTTTTGGAATAAAATGTTCTGACAAGAGCTTGTAGGGTTTTCCTTTTTTCACATTTTCTCTCGCCAGGCTGTAATTTTAAAGTTAAGTGAAGTGCGTATTTAAACGGGTGAATTTCTGTATTTATTCAGAACGTGTTTACGATAATCTCTTCTACCATGGAAATTACGATGCAGACTTAGTACATCCCCTCAAAAAAGGAGGCTACCAGATCGAACATTTTAAATATTAATTGAAAGGCTTATGCGTAAGCACCCTTTCTAAACATGCGTAAACATCCTTTGGAATATGTTTTGTTGAGACTTATGGATTCTCAAATGCGACAAAGGTTTTTTTTTTAATTTCAGATTATGTGTGGTACCAAAAGTATATTTCAATAATTCCGGTCGAAATATGATCTAGTATTTTATGCATTAGAACTCTGCTTACACAAACTGATATAATAATGAAAATAAATGGATAATAAAAACAACGGGTACTCATTTCATTGGTTCGAAAAAAAATTCACACAGATAATTTTAAGAGCATTTAAACTTTTTTTAAAAAATTCTTTGCATTTGTAAACTTGCTTCACCTAAAATATAAATTATAATTAAACATGCCAATAAAAAGCAGTACTGAATTCAGGTAATCTGCCGAAATCCTTTTATGTATTAATGAAAATATATTGTTTTATTAACAAACAAATTTGTATTTATGCACAAACTTTACTTTTTAACAAAAGGAGAAGCAGTATTGATTAATCTTGGGACAACTCCCTTTTCATAGAGGAAAAAATAATTCACTATTTTCCTAAAAGAAATGAAAAGTATCTCTGCGCATTATTATCTTAATTATTTATACATAAGTAACATGAGTTCTATATTTCGTGTGTCATTATTTCAATATAAAATACATTATTAATCAAAACGCAACAGCAAATAATCATTAAAAAGGCAAAGCGAAACAAGACATAAAATTCACAAACCTCGTTCTGCACCATCCAGACCCTCTCCTTTCTCATCTCATAAACAATCCCGAAAATATCGACGTAGTCATGTTTCTGAATGTGCTGCAGAATTCTGTCCAAAGCAATGAAAGTGCCTGATCTGCCGACGCCAGCGCTGCAAATGGAAGTCCAAAATTAGATTTGTAAGAATTCATATCTTTTAAAATATAAATAATGACAGTTAGGGAACGCCAGGGTATTTTTTAGCTCGTGTTACACTACAGCAATGATCTTCAAATTTTATCAACTCGGAGAACACGAAAATTAATATCTAAAGGTTGAAGGGATAAAAGATTTAAAAAAAAAATCTGAAAGTTCTCAGATTTTACATTACATCCAAAGATACGTTTCTTTAACGTTTCGCGCGTTACCTTTATTTACAAAATATCCTGTTTTTCGCTCTTATATCATAAAATTTAATTGCATTATCCCAAAATAATTCAGCAGCAATATAGCAAAATAATTTTAATATATTTAAAAACAAAATATCTTTAGCATTTCCAATAGACAGTTTGGAGCGCTGGAGATAATGTATTTTTCCCCGTAAGAATTGCCATTGATCACTTTGAAACAGCTGAGCTTGTTAATAAAAAAATTCGTTAAAATTTTACAAAATTTGAAATAGATAAGAAAAAAATTCGGGCTTCTGTATGCCCATGTTCAGGTGGAGGATTGCGTTATTCAAAATTTGACGGCTCTAGGTACCATCGTTTATTCACAATGCGAAAAACATACCTACATTTATGCACATTCTTCTCTGTTTAATTTCTTTTAAAATAATACAGGGCGATGATATTTGGTGGCAACAGTTTAAAAAGTGATTTAACGCAAAATCCCGTTTCGGCACTAATAGCCCTTGTGAGCTAACGCTCTTTTGGGCCAATAAATTTAGTTAAAGTTTTAAATTTGTGGCCAGCAGATAAAATTTTAAAAATTAAAAAAATTCTTTCAAATTTTGATTTTGACTTGCAGAACCCGTAGAGGACTTGAATGGAACCCCAGGTTTTCATGTAACGCAGTTTGAAAACCAGCGCGATAGACACTACTATCAATTCAGCAAGAGTATATAAAAACATTCTTTCGAACGTGTATGAAGAAAAACAAATCCCATGTTATTTTAAGATGTTAAACAGAGAACGTTTTTAGACGTGTCCTTAAAGCTTTTAAAATGCATGGAAAGAAAGATTGATTTCCAAATAAAAAAACTTAAGTTTAATTACACTTTTTATCTCGAAGTTAAAGGAAACTAAAAGTATTTTGAATTTCAAATAAAAGTAAATATAACTTTAAATTAAAAGCAAACAGTCCATACTTTATTATTATTATCCTATATAATATAAATTTTTGGCAAGACATTTAGGTTCCTTTTGCATATGGAATAAAAAAGTCAACGAATGTGTTGATCTAGAGCCAGCTTTACTTCCGATACTTTTGTGCAGACATGCTTGATAATAATTGATGTAATGTATGTATGAAAGAAATAGCACTTCTTTTTTATTCACATTCATTAATCATTGCGTGACTATATAATAAAAAACGGTTTTCTGTTTTTTATTTTATATTGTTGAGCAAAGAAAAAAAACGTATTTGCAACATGAATGTTTTGTATATCGGCATTCTGCGTCATTTATATGAGAGGGATGTAAAATCACAGTTAAAGCTTCCTAGGCATTGATACACAACTGTACTTTAGTGGGAGTGTTACCTACAACGCAGAATTAATGATGCTGTTTGGAAACGCTAGATCGTCCACAAAATAGGCTTATAAGTATATGGACACCAAGATCAAATATTCTCTAGTTAAAAAAAGCACTGAAAAATATTTTTGGATTATTAGGCAAACAATTTAAAAATGTGCACACTATTTACATTGATTTGTAAGTATAACAGTTCTTATGTAGGATTCTATGAGAACTAAAAGTTGTTATTTCGCATAAAAAATAAAGGCCTATGAAACTTACAGATTGCACTGGAATATCTCACACTCACATTCCGGGATTTCTGCTTGGAAATGCAGGAATAAATTTCTGCAGTTTACTGAAATAAATTCTACAAAAAGGCTATAGAAACATACATGCTACTGTTACAGCACATCCATACACTGGGATATTATCTTTTCTAATTTTTGCCAATGACTCACTCATTTCAAAAAGTTAATACAGATTTAAGTGGCAAGCAGTTTTGTATAAATTTAGTGAGAGCAATCGTAGCTGTATGAGAGTTTGGATTAATATTAGCTGCTTGCCCGCAAACAACCCCGTCACATAGCCCCTGCGTCGTCTATGATTAGAACCTCAAGCAATGCTTGGTTACTTATAATACTTTAAGCTACGTGAGCTGGCTTATGACTGGGGGGGATCCAGTTATACCGTTGTCGTAATACTCAGAGACTGTTAATAGAATATTTCGTTTTACTGTTAAGTTAGTAGGAACTGGTAGTGGAGTTACGAAGTCGCGATCAGCAAGAACTGAACCATCTGAAAATTCAGCTGAAGGCGATGCGTTAATCTGGTTTCGTAATTTTTTACCTTGTCTCTGAAAAATGGTGAAGTAGAACCAACTTCGGCCCTTAACAGGTTGTAGAGTCATTAGGTCCTTTAGATTTAGCCTTTAACAGGTTGTAGAATCATTAGGTCCTATAACTTTAGGTCCTTTAGATTTAGCCCTCAACAGGTTGTAGAGTCATTAGGTCCTATAACTTTAGGTCCTTTAGATTTAGCCCTTGGCAGGTTGTAGAACCATTAGGTCCTATAACTTTAGGTCCTTTAGATTTAGCCCTTAACAGGTTGTAGAGTCATTAGGACCTACAACTTTAGGTCATTTGTTCCTTTAGATTTAGCCCTTAACAGGTTGTAGAGTCATTAGGTCCTACAAGTTTAGGTCATTAGGTCCTTTAGATTTAGCCCTTAACAGGTTGTATCGTGCTTAGGTCCTTTTGAAGAAATAAACTGCGTTTTGATTCTTCATCAAGTGTTGTCATCAATCACTCCAAATCAGCAAATCCTTAGAACGCAAATTATGTTATCAGAAATGGGGTTTGCGAGTGAATGCCAGCGACCCGCTTGCAGGAGAAAGCCATAGCGGATTAAATGAAAGATTTTATGGACTTGTTTGCAGGTGTAAAAGCTGGTCTGGAAAAGATGAAGGCTGAGATTAAAAGACGAGATGCAAGAACAACTCCAACGGATGGAAGTGAAGTAAAAGAACATTGGAAGCAACATAGTGAAGTTTAGAGGGAAATATGGAGTCAAAATAAAAGATGTGGAAATGAACAGTAGTGGCATCTGAAGAATCAAAGGACGGAAAAATGAAGGAAGTGGCTGAAGTATCTGAGAAAAATCAAGAAATGAAAGATGAAACATCCAACGAGATTTAAGAAAGAGAACGAAACGATGAAGAAATGAAGGACGGGAAAGAAGCTTTTGATTCTCAAGTGCATTAAGTGGAAATGGAAGAAAGTGATATTACTGTTTGTAAAGATGAAGAAATAAAAGAAGTGGCTAGTAAAGCATCTGAAAAAGTGAAGAAATAGTTCATTAAAACAAAGTTTCTGATTCTCAAGTGCCTGAAGTAGAGATGGAGAAACTGAAAATGTGACTGTTAAGTTGGTAGAAACTGGTAGTGGAGTTACGAAGTCGCGGTCAGCAAGTATTGAACCATCTGAAAATATATGTGATGCAGAGATGGAAGAAGTTGATGTACAGCTTAAGTAGAGTGTTCCAGTATTGCAAGAAAATACATCCACTTCACAAACTGTGTGTCTCATAATACAAGTTGTACAGACACAAACTTGATTGTAAAGAGTAACACGGAGTAGAAGACTATCTTGAGTTCAGTAGTAGTGTCATGAGTTCAGAGATTAGCTTAACAGCGATCGATTCGAGTTTGGAGTTGTACTTTAGTGCTCTGCCGTGAAGCTGTCTTTACTGTTGTAGCCTGAACCTTGTATTGCTGATTGTTTCAGCGTGTTCTTCGTAGTTTTTCGACGACTGTTACTGTTTGACAGTGACGAATAAATTGTTTTTTGATTTCTCATCAAGTGCTGTCATCACTCACTCCAAATCCATGAAACCACAAAACGCAACAGGGCTAACAAATTTAGAGACTATTGTTTTCTTATATTTTAACGAAATATATCAATATGATAACATCACTGTAATACAGCATCAATGAAATGGTGTAACAACTGTTACCTAATGTAAAACAGAATATTGTATTTCGGCACAACAGTGCTCTCTAAGGGTGAAAAGTTGTAATAAAGCCAAACAAAAATATTAGCCTTTAATAATCCCATTCTTACCTGCAGTGAACGGCGATGGGTTTAGGATCAGATCCTATTCGCTCTCTGAATGTCCGGACAAATTTGACAAGAATCTGAGGAGGCTCCGGAACTCCAAAATCCGGCCAAGTCGTAAAGTGAAAGTGTTTCACAACACGTGACTGATCATTCTAGAAAAGATTTAAAAAAAAACACACACACACAAAATAAAGGATATTAGAATACTTCCAAAATATATTTACTTATTAGACACAAGTATATTTAATTATCCAAAATATATTTAGTTTTTAAATAGCAGAGTGATAATAAGTAAAATGAGCAAGTATTTCTATTAAATATAATGATTGATAAGAATATTATAAATGTTTTTTTTTATTCGACATCATTTAACTCCCCCAGAATTTTGTTTTATATCAGCTTTAAACTGAATAATATACATTTAATTTCAGCAAAGATACTGGCAAGTAACAGTTTATAATAACAAATTAATTTATTTAGAGATGGCGTACACAGTAACAAGAAATTTAATCTCAAAAGGATATACTAGAAATTTGCAATTTTTATCTCAAACGGATTATTGAAAACAATTGGCAATAGTAATTAGCTATAAAGTATTTTAGTTTTCCAGCTCCGCAAAACATTCAATGCTATTTTAAGAACTTTTTAAAGTATCTCAAATCACATACGTTTAACATACAGCAATTAAATAGTGTTGGCGATTCCTGCATTTAATACTGAGCTCAAAACCGTAAAACTTAGAGTTAGGATGGCCGTTTACCAAATACATAAATATATACGCATTTAATTTATGCCGTAAATATTTCTTCTGGAACAGATAACACCGATCTCTGATATAAAAAGCTACAAACAACTTAATACCAGATGTTTTTTTAAAGCAGAAGAGAGATGAAATGAGCAATGCCCTCGCCGGGACTCGAACAACGGACCTCTTGAATACGCGCCGAGTGTATTGACCATTACACCACGAAGGCAGGCTAAGAAGGAGGGAGAAATAACCTTATACAGAAATAGAAAAAATATTAATGAAATTCAAAAATTATATGATTTTGCAACACAGTTTCATAACGTATCAACCAATTATTAAAATGCATATTTGAATTTTAGTTAAAGGGAAAAGAAATGGTATAAAGGGTAGCAGTATGACAAACTCTCTTTCAAGTCCGCTGAATATTGGTAGTTCGACCAAGCTCAAGCCCAGGCAAACGATCTTGGCGCTGCATGAGTGCTTTTCGTAGTTTTCCCCATGTGTAACATGAATAGGAGCTAGTTTCTTTGCAAAAATCCTATGTGATGACATTCCCTTTATGCCGTTATGTGCATTGCCGTATTCAAATAACCTAACTTAACCACAAAGTTTGAAACTAAAAATTAATTTGGTTGATTTTAAAAATGCAAACTGGAGCGCATTTTAAACCATTCTTATCAGACAACAATGGGTCATTTCGTTACTTTAAAATTCATATAAAATCCCTAGTGCTAACTATTTTTTTTCCAATGGCAGATTGTAAACAGTTACAGAGTAATGCAGTCCATTAATCTATACAAGGCCAGATGTGGTGGTCGCTTTAGTATGGAGGCACCTAATAGGTGGGCCACCATCGCCTCCTATGCCGGACAGTTACAACCATGCCTTTTCCAGGATTCGAACACAGGCCCTTGGTATCGCAGTCAGGCTTCCCTAACCATTATACCGTCTGGGCGGCATGCTAACTAATTTTAAGTGTAAATTTTAATTAACTATTAATATTTTTTAATTTTCTAAGAAAGTTAAAAAAATTGTTTCTTTCGAAAGAAAACGCAGCATTTAGCTTTCTTTTTCCCGCGAAATATTAACAAACAGGATTAGAACTTAATTTTTCTAAGGGCAGATCTAGATAGAGATCAAGTTTATTCAGACAAAGTTTAGTCAACATTTTCCTCGACAAAATTCACTCTTCATGTGGAAATACGGCCCCACCAGCGGCCGAGCGGTTAAATTTCTGAACAATGGTAGTTCGGTCTGAGGTTCCAAATTCCGCGATGGGTTGGCTGCATGGGCGTTTTCGTCGTTTTCCCAATGTGTAACATGTTGATACGACTCAGCTGCCTTTAGAAAGTCCTCCACGAAAGCATCCCTCGCTTCCATGTAGTGCTTTAGTGCGTAACACGTAAATAATAATAATAATAATGTGGAAATACGATACTAAATATGTTCCATAATCTAACATAACACTAAGTTAATGTAACATAACACTAAAAACATAACACTAAGTTAAGAGATTTCGAGTCATCTTGTACATAGATCTTTTTCAGATTAAAGAGCTTTTTGTACACCAAGAAGCTAATTGATATGGATTGTTTGGGCACATATGCAAAATACTGAATCCAATTTGGTAAACCAAATTTTATTTGTTATTTGGATGAATTTATATAGAAATTTACTGATGTTTTGATATGGTACGCTGAAATATCGCTTATAATTTCTCATTTGCGGGATTATTACATTTATGTGTCATTTTGCTTCTATTCCGATTAATTTTAATTCAAGTTAACCTTAAAATATTTCATTTATACCAGGGTTTCTTAAATTGTGGGTCGCGGGAACTGCTGCAGGGGGTCGCCAAAAATTTTAGCAGTTTTGATATTTCTTTAACCTATTATAATAATTTTACAATTACCAAATATTTTTACACAGTGTATCTGAAAATAGATAAAGATAAGACAATACAGACTTATTTAACAGTTTCACATTGTTCTATATTTTAAAATTAGAAATTAATGACCCTAAATCTGCAATAGTATATTACAGTACAAGTGAGAAAAATTAAGTTTCATTCAAGCGTGTGTCGGATGGGGTCCCACAAAATTTTCGTAAATATTATGGGGTCCTGTGGGTCGCGAAAAAATCTTAGCGATAAAAAGGGGTCGCGACTGAAAAATGTTTAAGAAACCCTGATTTTCACAATGCATATCTTCGATTGCATTTAGCTTTCTCCCTGACTCATGCCGTTTCATTTCACAGCTCAAGCAGTTTCTCCGAGTGTCCTTTCTTTTTTTTCGGGCGCATCTAAAAATTGCACACTGAAATATATGGGCAAGAAACGGAAGACATGAAGTATCTCAGATCGAACAGGAGCCCAAATTCGAATTGTGGATGTAAAGAAGGGTTACTTGGCGGGGTTAGAATTGATAATAGATTTTGTTTGATTTGGTTAATTAAAACCTTGAGGGGTATCTGTATATATAGATATGCCTTCGTGGAGAACATTCTAAGGGAAACTGGCCCATATACAGATGCCAGTTTGTATACACGAGGAAACGACTAAAGTACCCAATGCAGCCAGCCCGTTTGCACTGAACTTCCTGGTTCAGCGACTTTACTTCTCAGTCGTTGGTAACCTAGATTTTATTTGAGCGGATCGGTTTGATGATCGACGCGCTTCATTTTTGTGTAATATAATAAGCATGTTTTAAGTGAACTTTTGCTTGTCCTTTGCAAATGCTTGTCCCATTTGGAAAGCTTCAGTCTATATAAATTCTTCTAAAACTTGCAATCTCCCCTTTTAAAAAAAAAAGAGTTAGTATGGGAAGGCATTACCAGTTGACCTATGGTACATCGCTGGTGTCCCCCATACTTTTACCTGTACTTGTACCTGCTTGTCCTTTGCATTCTTTATGCTTTGCTCTAAAGCTAAGAATTAAACAGAACTTTACCTAAGCATATCTTTCTTTAGGAAAATTTAATTCTAAATCGATGTTAAATTCTTCATAGAAAAGTTTTATCCAAAATGATGTATAATCGTTCTCTTTTTGTATTAAATATCTTACAGTTTTGAGTTATGATTTAAAAAATATTTCGACTATTTTTATAATACAGCTACCGTTTCATACGGGTATAGGAGAGTGTGAGAAACTAAGTTTGTATAATAACAGCTTAGGAATTAAAATTTTATAACTAAAAGGCACATATCACATTGCAGAGGCATTACATTTTTTTGAAGCAGAATACGTGAAAAATGAGCAATGCCCTCGCCGGGACTCGAACCTGGACATATCGAATACGTGCCGAGTGTGCTACCGCTACACCACGAAGGCATGCTGGATAAGGAGGGAAAGAATACCTCTTATAACATCACTAAATTAAAATTTCGATTTTTCGTCTTTTTAAAGCTTACGAATAAGCGTCTTTTTAAAGGTACGTACCCTTGAAAAGCGTACGAATGATACTTTACTCTATATTTCAGTCCTGATAGAATGAAACGTATTTTTTTTTCTTATATAGTTTCACTTACCCTGGACACTTTAAATTCTGATATAGTCCAATGTAAGTACTGTGATTCATTGAGCAATATGACTTGAATATCACCATAGTAGACGGGCTGCATATCGAACGGCCAATAATGGTCGCACTTTTCGCGCCCTTTTTCTATGCACCTGGTAAGCATGACTATGGCACGACAGTTCTGTTCCCAAACCATGCGCCAGAAGTCGTCTCTGGTGCTGTGCAAGGGACCTTGAGTCACGATGAATTCTCGAGGTGAATTATAACCCTGAAAAGCAACAAATGCAAGGATTAGTGACAGCTGTTTAGCAATGAAAATTACACAAATCTGAAAGCATTCAGATTTTATATTACGCTTAAATGGGCGTTTTTTTAACATTTTATGTGTTATTTTTATTTATTAAATATCATATTCTTCGCACTTCAATCAAATAAACCTCGAATTAACAGCAATATCACAAAATATTTAAAAACATAAAATCTTCAGTATTTCCGTGTAGAGATATTAAGTTGTTTCGAAGCCGGAGAGATGACAGATGAGCAACGCCTTCGCCGGAAATCGAACCACGGACCTCCGGAATACGCGCCCAGCGTGCAGACCCCTACACCACGAAGGCATGCTAGGAAGTCGGGAGAAATATCTTATATACTCCCCCTTTTAAAGGGCGACTGGGGTTTTTAGGAGACCCAGTCACCAAATCCTGGGTGTGGAGAATCATAATCCATCACCCTTTTAGTTCGGGCGCACCTGGAAAGATATTAAGTATTTTTTTCGATGCAGGAGAGATGAAAAATGAGCAAAGTCTTGGCCGGGAATCGAAACATGTACCTCTGTAATAAGCGCCTAGAGTGCAGACCACCACACCATGAAGGCCTGCTAAGAAGGCGGGAGAAATACCTTATATCCGATAGACAGTCTCGCGCGCTGAAGAAAAAAATTGGTATTCTCTACAGTGTTGTGACTGCTCGCTTTGAAATCGTTCAGTTCAGCCCGCGTTCGGGTGGAGGATTACGCAATTCAAAATTTGATTTCTCTAGTACCGTCGGTTTTTCACAATGCAAATAACATACATACATTCATGCAGATTCTTGATTAATTAATTGCCTTACGTATAATACAGGGTGGTAATATTTGGTGGCAACAATTTAAAAAAGTGATACCCCGTTAATAGGGAACCGAGCGAAATACCGTTCGAGACTAATAGCCCTTCTGGGCTAATACTCCTTTGGGGTATAAATATAAATGCCAAGTTGAAGATATTGAAAGAAAATGTTTATGTGAGGTAAAAAATTTTTAAATATGAACTAGATTCTAATTATATTGGTTGACTGTATTCACTATGAATTGGGCTAGTTACTGGAATGTGCGGCAGAAAATATTTATATATTATAAAGCAAAAATCATATATGATGTGAAGTCTATTAGGAAGAAATTTTCTCTGAATGGATTTAGTCTAAAACTATAATGTTTTGCTAATTCTGAACAAAACATTTTATATTTGTATCATTTTTCGCCTACCTTTATTAAAAGCACAGACTCCATTTCGCTACAATAGAAAGCTACTTGTGTATAGGAATATTATTTTCAGTTAAAACCGGATTCAGTAATTTTAAAGAGAGATGAAATGTAGAAAATTTGTGGATTTCCTGTGTTTCATCTGTCTTTAAAATCATTGGATAATTGGAAGTCAGGTTTCAACTAGTATAAAAGGTGTATAATAAAGTTCACCGTTAACAGTTGAGCACTTTGAACTTCTCGGTTTTATTTACACGTGAATATACACTCATGTCCATAAATTAAGGATAATTCGGAGTCACTCGTAAATCGAACTCTAAAATAAATATGTCACCTGTAAAACCACTACACACATCTTCAAGAATCATATGCAAATTTCAGGAAGTAACCAGATGACACCGATGGTACGTCACAATGACGAGAGTGTAAGAGAGTGATATATAAGGAATACAGGCAAAGAAGTAAAATTGTTCGCAGGCGCTTTATAAGCATTTCAGTGCAATAACCGAATAGTTATGACACAAAGGACGCATTTGGATGATTTTTTACGTGGTAGAATTATCGGCCGTCTGGAATGTATGCGTACCCTACTGGAAGTATCAAACGAACTTGGAATTGCCCAGAGTGTCATCTCCAGGCTTTGGCAACGATTCCAAGATGATGGTAATGTGAGTAGACGTTACAGCACAGGTCGCCCCAGAGTTACAACGCCGAATGAGGACCGGCATTTGGCAGTTACTGCCAAAAGAAACAGGCGGAGCACAGCCTCAGACCTGTCTCGTCAGCTCTTTTCAGCCACTCGTACGACAATTTCAAGGCAGACCGTGTAAACACCGTGCTGTGTTAAAATGTATTTTTACTTCTTTCATGTAACTTTCAAAATAATACTTTCTTATTTTCTAACGTATTTCATTGTAACAACATAGCATGCATATTTCCTCCCCAAATTTGATGGAACACACCTCGGGTGGGAGGGATCCAAGAGTATCCTAATCTTCCTTCCCTACACCACCAATCTCCTCGAGAGGATTTTCGGTTCCCTAATATTTTAAGTGACCCCATGCCTCATAGACACTATGCACTTAAAAGCATCCGTTCCTTTCCTGGGATTAGTACCAGGGCCCCCCATATATCACAGGTTCGGAGTTGGTTCTCGGACATGTAATAAAACGGTGATGCAAAGCAATAAGGATCCAAAGTTACGACATTTTCACAGACGCTCAGGTATTGTCTCATAGGCTTAACTCCTCAAAAGTAAATCGGGATCACACTATGCTTTATCATAAAAAAACAAACAAATTCTAATACGACTCTTTTGTGAATTAGAGAATTTGGGAATTTCACCACAAGTCTAACTGCCTGTTACTTCCTGTCATTGGTTTCCGACCGCTTCTTTGAGGAAATTTTAGCATCGGCAACAAAACATTTAGCCTTTTATGAGACGGAAAATTTACATTTTGCATTGCTGAATAATCAGCATTTCGGTTAACAGCAACAGTAAATAAATTTCTAAATAATGAAAATAAATGGATTTTCAATAACAAGATATAATATATTTTATTATATACTAGCGGAAGTATGCCAGTTAAGTTAGATTGAGAGTAATGTATCTAACAACAGAGAAAACGATGCCGCTGTAATCCTTCTCTAATAACGATGCAAAAAATACGATTCATAATCATACATTTTTCAGACTGATGCGATATGGAACCCACATAAAAAATTTCGATAGAAAAATAAACTAATTCTCTCTCATTATATCAGCAACAATGGCACGCAGTTTTTAATGATTTTCGTCTTTCTAATCAAATGGTCGTTCCATCCAATATTTCACCTATGCTCAACTTTAGTCGATTAAATGTGGCAACAAAGGGATCATAACTGAGTAGAAATCAATAACGCGAACAACAGACATTCTTCTTTATGTATATAGATTTTGTAAAACTTACAAATTTTTGAAGAAAAAACTCTACGATTTGAAAGCAAGCAGTAGCAACACTTTTCGAAATAAAGCATCTTGATCTCCAACGCGCGAGTCTGTTGCCGCTCGGGAAAATGAGTGCGAAAATTAATGTTTTCGGAGTTTTTAATTAATATCTCGGCTGATTAAAGTCGTACGCTGTTGAAATGGCTTCCCACGAATTTTCGGAATCGCGAATAATGTATTTAATGTTTGGTGATGCTATTTTTATTTCACAGTAAAACTTCGAAATTTTTTATTAACAAACTACGATTTGAAAGCCAACAGTGGCAACAACTTTCGAAATAAAGCAGAGTTTCATTTCCAGCTTGGGAGACTGTTGCAACTCGAAAAAATCAGGGCGAAAATTTTTCTAAGTTCTTAATTAATATCTCTGATTTTAGCTCCTTTTTTTGAAAAAATGGACGTCGACCTTTTCCAGAACCCAGAAAAGAATTGTAGAAAGATTGGTGACGATAGTTCTAGTAGTGACTGAGTTTTTAGCGAACAAAGACAGAGACTTTCTTCTTTATATATCTAGATTATATATATAAATGTAATTTTACTACGCATTTTCAGCTCCTGAAGTCACACTAAATTAAGATTAACAAAATGACAAATATGTTAATACAGATAAGAATCGCCAGAAAAATATTCAGAAGCTTGTTAACAGGAGAATGAATGAAATAAGTAGTTTACACATTACCTCTAAAAGGAGAAACACATTACCTCTAAAAGAAGAAACACATTACCTCTAAAAGGAGATAAAAATCAATAAAAATGACTATCAAGAACTGCAACTATCACTGTTTTCACATACGTACCGGAATGTAGTTGGCATTGATGTAATCCGTACCCTCCTCATCGTCTGTGGGCATGAGTTTGATTCTAGAATGATCGTAAGGCAGAATATTGGTGAAACGATTCTTTGGCCGGTTCACAGGAAGGTCAGCAGCATTGCACGGTTTCTCTCGACCAACATGTTTCAGCAATTCGAATTCTTCCGAGAACCTAAAGTCGGAATCGGCAGACATAATTCTGTAGTGTTCGCCGAAATCTTTGAGCTTGATTGGCCGGCTGCAAAACAGAAAGAATATTTTGTCAGACTATCTGGATTCTTAAGTAGAGAATGAAAACTAAGAAAAGTTTTTTTAACCTTTATATATCGTATATTACATTTAGGCGATAACATATTGAACTGACAAGTATAAAAAGGTAATCCATTAACAAGACTTTGTATTTTTCCAATATCCATGAATATTGCTGTCATCATGTTAATTTACATGAAACATATTTAAAATGAAAACATGCCTTCCATATTTGCTGTTAGCATTATGCCTAAAAATTATAATTACATTTCTGGGGTGATCTTCATCGTTTACGTCCAGACAGATCGACACGAGTAAAGGAAGGAGCGCTGGTAACAATAATGACTAATCAATCGAACACCAGAAGGCCGGATATACATTATCCGGAAATCCCCGTGACTCTAAAACATTCGAGAAATGAAGCGAAAAATTGTAAATTACACAAGTAAGTTCCTTCCGAACTTCCTGATACTACAACAAACTTCTATTCTTTGTAGGTCACAAGGACCTTTTCCTTGTTGGTAGAGCATATGGTTTGTTTAGAAGCGTCATAAACGAAGAATAGAATAGAAATGTCGAATACTAAAAGAAAGAAAAGCTCTTTTGCATAGAATTTCACAAATTTCCGGGTATTTTCTTTTGCCGTAATTATTTGCAAGCATTTGATAAGTAAAATCTTTGAAGTTCTCGGAATAACAGAAATACTAAGGCTGTTTGTCTATTTTTTGGTCGACTTTGCTTTGCTATATAAAAAATTACCTGCTTGGAATTTTTTTAACTGCAGCTATATTTCTGAAAATGTAAATTATCGTCTGGTGCTTGACAATTTTGTTTTTAAGCAAAATGGAGTTTTGAAGAAGCAAGGGACGGAAAGCTAAAGAAGGCTCTTTCTGATGAAAATTATTCGTGGTTAGGTATTAAAAAATTCTGTGAAAGCCAAGTGTTTTCGGTGTCTAAAGCAACAATAGATAATATTATCAACAAGAAAGCAAAAAAAGTCAAAATTCGGTTTCAAGGAGAAAAGTTGTTCAACATATCCAAGATCAAAAAGGAGTGTTTCGAATGTTGCAAAGGTAAGAACTTGAATGTTAAAAGACAATCCCCATACAAGTCGAAGCACAGTTGCATAATCATTAAACACTCAGTGTCAACTGGAAACAAACTGATTAACCGGTTAACTGTGGCGCTCTCGTTTAAGAGTGCGCAGCACCGTTTTGTATCGCCAGAATCAAGTCATGACAAGTAATTCGTCAATCACAGAGTAAGTTGCGCTGGTAAGATATTGGATGAAAAAGATGGGTTTATTTTATAAAATTGAAAATTTTATTACTAATATTATACATATAAAAGTAAGAATTTAAATTCCTGCTGTAGAGTGATATTCAGCGAAACAGGGTACTATACACAATGGGATTTTGCAAATCGAACACCAGTAACGCGATTCCGTCCTGATCTTACGTTTGTAGCAATGCGAACACCTTCGCGTAGGGTTTTTTTTACCCGATGTTCAGGGTATATAATCTGGAACATGATTCCAGCCTGATTGGTTTATATTAGGTCTAAATGGCCGAATTTGTGTCGATTTATTTCTTTCAATTGGATACGTAGCAAAAGTGTCTTCAATAAATTTGAGAAAAAAGGTGATACGCAATAATGTTCCATTATTTTTTTATATAATATGAATGCATTGACACATAATGTCTAAGAAATGGAGAAATATCTTTTTCTAGTACTTTTTGAGTCGTTTTCTTGCTGTGGAGTACGCTATGATAATTCCATCGCTCATATCTACTCGACCCATTTTTTTATTATAATCAATCACTAGCTCCGGTTTCTTTGTCATTATTTTTCTTTTCTCTGTTTCTATTACATTGCTTTATACGCGCGTTGCTTATATTGCTTTATACGCATGTACTCGTCAATACACAAAATCGTGCCGCTTCTCCATGATGAGTACACTCGTCAATCACAAAGTCGCCAAGATTCGAATAGCAGTAGAACTGCACGCTGCGTAGTAATCAGCATGCCGCAATACCAACGGATTGGAGCAAAATCACAATGGCATTATATTAGAATCGGCCATTTAAACAATGGCTTACTTTTCTCATAATTAATTGATGATAGTTTTAACTATTATTATCGAAAAGTAATTTCGTTTATTCCCAACAGAGGGCTTAATTGTACTTTTTCACAGCCAACTTCCCACTTAAGCCACATAATCCTTATATAGTTTGACAGCTGATACAGCAAGGCTTGTTTGTGAAAATGTTCGATTGATTCTACGCAGTAATTTTTGGTTGGTGCCCTTTCAAATATGGAAAATGAAAAAGCAGCATTTTGGGCATATTTTACTTTTTTACCATCGAAAAGGTTGGAATGCTGTTCAAGCAAGAAACAAAATATCCGATGCATATGAAGAAGACGCATTGACAGAACGCCAGCTGCAATTTTGATCTTGGAGTGCACCATTTTCTTGAAGGCTGAAGCTGATGAAGACACAATAAAGGCATTAATTGATGGCATACCAGCGAATAACAACTCAGGAGATCGCTGAGAGAATACATTTATCGAATTCCACCGTTCATGGTCATTTGAAACGCCTAGGTTTAATCTCAAAACTCGACATATGGGTTCCTCGTGTTCTTAAGCTCTCCATCAGCTTTTCATCTTCAAGATCAAAATTGCCGGATCGAAATTTTGCAAACAAGTTTGGGCACTGGCTTTCTGTCAATACGTCTTCTCCATACACATCGGATAGTTTTTTTTCTTGTTTGAACAGCATATTTACCTTTTAGATAGTAAAAAAGCAAAATATGCCGAAAATGATACTTTTTACTTTCCATATTTGAAAGCGCACCAACCAAAAACTACTGCATAGAATCAATCGAACATTTTCACAAACAAACCTTGCTGTATCAGCTGTCAAAATATATAATGACTATACGGCTTAAGTGTGAAGTTGGCTGTGAAACAAACCACAATTAAGCTCCCTGTTGGGAAAATTGTCCCGAAATTACTTTCTGAACAATCTAATAGATAATTTTAAACGAAACTACAATTTGAGCGGGTAAGAAGTTTTTTTCAGACTAAGCACTCTGAAATAAAATATCCTTGGCTAATTTACCCTAAAAGCAGATTTAGAATAAAAGTCAGCGTGCTGTTATCAATCAGATATACGCTTCTTATTATTATTTTTTTTTTATCTCGGAATCAAAAAGAGTGGATGGTTAATAAACATTAACAAGCCAATTTTCTTCAATCCCTATAACATAAAAAATATATAATATAAAAATATTTCTTAATATTTTCTACTGACAGAAGCAAGATATGTTTAATTTTATAAAGTTATAAAACACTTTTATTATCTTACCTAGTAATAACCTCACTTTCTGAAACAGACATGGCATCAGCTTTGGCATGCTTGGCTTTTTTAGCGAAGGGGGCCAGCCGCCTTCTTCTCCAGAGGAGAGCCACTCCCACAATAAGAACTACCAGTAACAGAGGAACAAGAATACCCGTCAGCAACGTTCGATTGTCAGCATCTGTAAAAGGCGAAGTGAAAAATGTACTGCAAAAAAAGTCCGGAAAAAGAAATTTAAACAGTAGCATTACCTGCAAGTGTTTGGATTAGAAGTTCGTTAAGGTTCTTCTATATATTTTCTTATCTACTGAATGGCTCAAATTTAGTTGTTATCTCTTCTCTATCATAAAATAACGGTGTGCGGTTGCAGTTCAACTGATGACAGCGTTTGTTGTTTTACTCAGTGACATTGTTTGCGTTCTCATCTATATCGTTTAGGTGACTACTTTCGGCAAGGTAAACAAATTGAGTTTAAAAATTCAAAGAAATTTCTATATTCAGTAGATCTACGAGAAATAAAAAAATCCTCTAAATACCTCAACATATTAAAGAAAAAAAATCTGAAAGTGTTCACATTTTATATTAGTCCGAAAGGAACTTTTTTTTAACGTTATGTGCGTTACCTTTATTTACTAAATATCATGTTCTTCACGCTTAAAGCATACAATTCAATTCAACAGCAGTCACAAAATAATTAAAAAAGAGCATATCTTTAGAATTTCCTATACAAAATTGGACGGCTCTAGGTACCGTTGTTTTATCACAATGAGAGAAACATAGATACATTTAAGCAGATTCTTCATTATTCAATTTTTTTAAATATAACACAGGGCGATAACATTTGATGGCAACAATCTGAAAAGTTAAAAGCTGTTTATAGTGAAACGTCACAAAATGCCAAAAGGAAATTGGCATTTCTGAGCCAACGCCCTTTGGGCTAAAACTGATGAGAACATTACGGATTAAATGTAAATTATATAATCAAAAAGGTAATGAAATTAGTTGATAATCTGTGAAAAGAAACTGTGTTCAGAATGGAAATTTCTCTGATATTCTATATGTCTCGTGGCAAATGTTCACACATTTCCTGGAATTTATTGAAGGGAATATGTTACAGTCCGGAACTCATTAAAGGTTAACAGGAAGGAGAAAAAAGGGAAAAGTAGGGAGAAAAAAGGGAAAAAAGGGAAAAGTAGGGAGAAAACCCATTAAAAAGTCCTTCCTATCAGAAATATAAACATTCTGACATCAGTTCTCCTAATGTCGATTGAGAAAAATTGAAACATTTTGAGGAAGTAATGGCATGCGTAAGTGTTGCCAGAATGTCAACAGCTGAGGAGGTTGTGAGTCGTTATAGTAATAACGACAAGTCAAAAATAATGATTTTAATGATTTGTAATGGTGCATTTTCTTAAGAACGGATAAGCTATAAGAAAAAAGAGGCTGATTACAAAGTAAAATATTTCTGTGTATCATATATATATATATATATATATATATTAAGTATATCCTTTCAAATAATGTTTATTTTCTATCAGGGAGAATCAGACAAATATGACCAGAAGAAGTCTAGCCATGATCTTCCTTCCCTAACAAGTACAATAATCCAACATTTAAAAAAAAAAACCTAGATGACACAAATGAATTAAATGAACTGGTTTCAAAAACAGTTCCAACTAATTAAAAAGGAAATAGGGATGAAATAGCTAAAATTTTAATTTTTAGATCTTATCACGTAAAAGTACTAAATGAGTGCTGATTGGAATTCATAACTTCTAAAAAAGTTCGGTATAATATAAAAGAATCAGGTTCACTTCTAAATAGATTGACAGACTTCTTAAACGTAATAGTTGTAACGTTTTAAAAAAATTCTAATACTCTATGAAATAAATTACATCAAATAGTAACTTAGCATTACTTTTTTTTCCTCGCGAATTCAAAATCAAGCCCTATGAAATACAACTGACAGGCAGTTGTGGGAAATCCATACGCTGGCTCATATTGCTCTGCACGGCATGCAGCGTATTCATAATAAAGGGTGTTTACAAAGTCCCGGACCCATTTTGATGTTTAATAACTCGTAAAATAATAAAGATAGATCAAAATTAATAACATAAATGGTTAGATAGACTCAAAAAGTTTGACCCTTGTCAATGAACTTCCACGTGTGCCCCCTTCGTCGCACGGAGAATATGAAGTCGATATTCAACTTCACGCCAGGTACCGGGAAGCACATCGGCATCCACAGAGGCTATTGCGGTTCTAATTCTGGCTTTTAGGTCATCCATGTTCGACACTCTCCTCCTGTAAACGTTGTCCTTTGCAAATCCCCAAAGGAAAAAGTCCAGCGGCGTTCTATCAGGTGATCTGGGTGGCCAAGGAATTGGACCTCCTCGCCCGATCCATCTTCCTATAAAATGGTCATTCAAAGAACTACGAACAATGGTACCCCAATGAGATGGTGCACCATCTTGTTGAAAAAAGACATGTGGCTGAAGCTCTTCTAGTTGTGGAAATACGATGTTTTTCAACATGTCTAAGTATACGACTCGTGAGACCGTCTTTTCTGTAAAAAAGAAAGGCCCAATGACTCGGTCGTGCATTAGTCCACACCACACATTAACCTTTGGGGAATCACTTTGTACCTCACGGTATTTATGGGGGTCATATCAAAAGTTAACATAACATTGCAATAGTTGCCAAAAACAAAAGAGAGAAAAATGCAATTAATAAGCAGACGATATTTAGAAAAATACAGATATTTAGAGTGGAAAATGAAATTATCTGAAATTAACCACACGCGCAGAGGATATTTACAAAAGTAAAGATATTCAAACCAGAAAAGGAAATTATATAAGTTATTCCATCAATAAATGCCATAAGTTTGTTTAAATCTTCATTATTTTATGAGTTATTAAACATCAAAATGGGTCCGGGACTTTATAAACACCCTGTATTTTGTATTGCGATTATACTGCAATAATAAAATGCTATGGTTAGATTCCACTAGTACTACATACGATTCTAATTCTACTGCTGGATTTATATTCAGATGGTGAATTTTGAAATAATTTCAGCGTTGTTAGGGATTGTAGTTAGGTAGGTATGGCGCGGTCCACCCTCCTAGCAAGCCCAAGCTCGTCTTATGGCTTGTCTAGAGCAGCCACGAAGGAAAACCATATAGGACAACACAACATAAATAGTCTCCAGCAGCAGCCATATTGGATGTTCTTTGTTACTGTTCTATTCCAATTGTGACAAGACTCTTATTAATTTTTTCGATGATCTCTTTTGCTATGTTTTTTTGCTTCATTTTGATTATTAACCAGATCTTTAAAGTCCTTCTTGCTGCTCCTAAGGTCTTTTGTTAATTCACACTCTTCCACGTAGTGCCTGCTATTTTCTAGCTTTCCGCATAGTAAACAGTTTTCTTGAATTTTCAATCCATTTACGTATGCCGAGAATCTTCAATCCATTTAAGTATGCCGAGAATCTACCGTGACCTGAAACGATCTGACAAAGGTCTTTATCGGTTATGGTTTCCATTTTTTTTTTTTTTTTTTTTTGGAGATTTCAGTGATTTCCAAGTAGTCCTTTCTATGATCTGAATCTTAGGAATTGTAGGTTTATATATTTTTATTAATGCAAAATGGTTCTTGCATCAATAAAAACTGTAGGTGTTGTTAGAGTATATATAGCTTATCCAGGCTGATGCGGATTTTGTATTTTGAAGAATAATTTTTACGAATTTCATTGGACCTATTTATAAGTATTATGTCGCCAATTTATACGATATATACTGTTTAGTTACCTTTGTAACCTGTTTGTCTTTGAAATTTGTAGACTTCTTTGTAGATTGGAAATTTAATAGTTCTATCCGAAAGTTTCAGATTGAATCTGTGACCATGCATTTTGCTACAAATCAATGTAAGAAGATAGATTCCCATTATATTCTGAAATAAATTTAATGTTTATCTTCGCAATACAAGCCTCAAAATAGACTTATATTTTTGTGTTGTATCTTTCAGCGACGATTTCGTTGCTATGATATACTCTGATATTCAAAACTCGGCAATTGTTACAGCTTGAAGGTTTAAAACAAGTACGAAATCCTTTCAGAGATCGTTCGGATACAAATCAATTAATTTTATCTTAATTGTTTTCTGAAAATTCGCAGCATAATATAGGTAATAAGGCTGTTCGTACATTTTTTAGACGATTAAGTAGAGTTGGAACCCCAAAATCTTCAAAAAATTGTGATTTCGGATTTTGCATTTTCAAATTCTCTACACTTTTATCTTTCTAAAAATACCATTCTTTAATCTCTATGAAAATTAGAACTGTAAAAAAATCTAGTTTTAATTTGTCATTTACTGCTTTGATCAATGAGGATTTTTACTTAAAAACGCGTTTTTCTCCAAACGTGATTTTTTTATACTCGATGTACCTTTTCTCAGGACTACTGCTCACAGGTATCTAAACTTTTTATGGCTTATTTATTAGGTTCCCTAATATTTACTGAAATAAGCTTTTTGTAATAAACTTAGAAAAAATTAAAAATTTTTTTTGTGTGTGTGTGAGAAAAGTGCTAAATTTTACTATGCCTAACAAAATATCTTATAATTTACTCTAAAATTCAAAATGTTTCAAAAGCTCATTTCAGTATAATCAGATAAGTATACTTTAATTACAGAAAAAATTTCAAGCTTGTATATACAGCAGATTTTGAGAAAAGGTACATCGAAAATGGTCAATTTAACATTGTCGGTATAGGGGTTTCTGATACCCCTTAACATTGTAATTACAAAAATATTTTACCCATAATTTTTATGGTCTAAATGTTTTGATTGATTTTTTACTATCTTTATACACAGTAAATTTCCAATACAATAAAGCCTTTTATATTGGAAGAGATATTTTATCCCATTGCTCTCGACAGCTCTCCAAAGTCTAAGAACGTTGTAGGTCGACGTTTGGACAACCCCCTTTATAAAATTCCAGAAACTCAAAAATACATTGGTGATAGTAGATCAAGAGATTTAGTAGGGATATGAGTGGAGGGTGTGATTTTGACACCCGTTTCTTTTTCCATTTTTTCCCAGTAAATTAATCGTAGATTTTGACTTGTCGCTGTCTTGATGTAGTTCTACTGATTGACAATATTATGTGTAAAGAGAAGGT